CGTAATAACCTCATATTATAATAATGTATAGTTTTACCCTTGGAAACTAGTGTGTGTAATGGGCACACTAACATTTACATTATTTCACACATCTTCCAAAGCAAAATGTATCACTGATCTAACACTTTTGCTTAATAACCTGGTTTCAATGTCGAATAATCCAATCAATAGCTTATATTATATTATAATACGTGACATTTAAACTATCGGATATGTTGAATTTGTCTGCTCTTATATTATATATATTAGTAGATGCTCACCTTTCGTCGATAAGATAGTAGTTCATCGTGCGTTTCCCGATAGAGCTCCCTCAGTTTCTTCACTTCTTCTTCCGCTTTTAAACAGGAACCACTACTGTGTTTAACTACATATGTAGATGTCGTACCTTCAACGTTATTAGGGCGTGTACCAACTTCTGATGACGTAATTGTATCACCGGGCGAAATATTATTTCTTAATTGTATAACCTATTTTGAAAATAGAAACAATTTAATGTTCCAAACTTAAGTTTACTCCGATATAAATGCAGTGCATAGAGTAAGGCCCATTAGAATATCTATTTTACACGTGTAAGTGATAAATGACACATAGATTACTTGAATACAAACATAAAACATATTTGCGGACTATACGTCCATATTATAGTGCAACGATGAGAATGTAATATGTATATATATATATATATATATTGAAACAACAAATCGACTAAATGTCAAGTAACTTCGATCGCGACTCACGTGTATCACGTATATCATATGTTACTGGTGTACAGGGCGCCATATCCAAGGGTGAAGTGCAACACTCAGGGCCAATACAATATATTATTAACTATATACACACAATATGTGCGGTGTATATAGAAGTATAAAGTAATACCTTTGGTAGAAAAATGATACAAAGTGTTGTAGTAGTAGAAAATAATATAGATATGGTTGTTATCGTATAGCTGATGTCAGGCTTTTCAGGTGGCACTATGAATGACGTTGGCACTCCAAGTAGGCTTAAAACCATGACGTTGTAAACAGCAAATCCTATCAAACGTGAATCATTAAGCTGTGTATAACGAACGTTTCTTGTTTCCCACGCCAGAAAGCATCCAAATAGTAATATTACACCTTTGTATCCATAAAGAAGTCCCAACCATATGGTGAGATAAGATGAAGTACACTCGGCAATAACAGGAATTATATTTATGTCAAGAAGACCATCTGTAGACAACTGGAAAATGCCAAACTATAATAATCAATATCGTAACGAAAGCAATAATAACATTACGTCTGCCACTAATTAAGGCAAGGTGGTCTGAAAATCACTGACGAGATTATTTCATGTTGAGATTTAAAGTTCTTCGTCTCTGTGACGTAATGGGTCAATACTTACCCGACTAGGGAGCTCTCTCTCTTCGTGACGTAACGGGTCAACACTCGTCCATAGCACTAAGATTATGACATCAACGGAAATTAACACGAGTACTATTCCTAGTAAGTGAGCGTCCTGTATTTTCTATGGTAACAACAATAACATATCGCTCAGAATAATTGTGGAAAATCCATTGATGTTCAGAAAAACTCTCTCATTATGACGTAATAGGTAAATATTTGTGACGTAATAGGTCAATACTTATTATGTTGCTCAAGTGAAGCAATGGCACAATCTCTCTCTTTATGTGAGAAAATTGGTCAATACTATTATAGTACTTTTTGTTACACACTGCACTGATCTGCTATTCGTTGCTGATGAAAGGGAAAATGCCCATGCCCATGTTTAAACACGAACAATAAATAATTTATGTCATGGGATGTTTATTAGACTCACAACGTGTTTTAATAAATGGAAGCTACAATACAATTCATTATATTTCCACGATTCCGTAAATTGTCTTATAACCTGTTTTGGTATGCGATACAAAGAAATACCACATAATAGTTACTATATCATAATATGTACTTACAATACTTTTAACTTTCTTGTTGGTGAATATTTTATGTATTCTCCATGTTTTACTGAACATAGCGCCAAACCCGATAGTGAAACCAAGGCATATGAGCCACACTCTCAGCTATAATGAAATCGCACATAAATATAAATTATACATTTGAGAACTGAATCTAGATATACACAAATACATTATACATATCGAATTGAATTATTTGCGGCGCTGATGAAGCCCCTATGTTTGCATGCTATGGATTTGTAGTTTGAACAAAACAATATCACTGATTATAAGAGTATAGTATTGTATAGACATGCTACCTGGCACACTACGATGCAAAACGTTGATGAGAAGACATGACAGTCAAGCCCAAATACAACGATCGATATATAAGCAAGAACTGCACCAATAATTATAATACCATTTATTTTAGGACTAGACATTCTAATAGCTCTGTAAAAAACGTACAAGATGTACATGTTAAAACAGTTACTGTCAATGTTCAAATCGCACAATACATTTATATATTCGCTAAGTAGTTTGATTGTGATATGGTTTTTAGTATGAACACAGACTATTATCAAGACAACGCATGTATGACATGGTGAGCTAAATAAACATATGATACACTGCTTTGATTTTCTATTTCAATTTTGTGACGTTCAAGTTAGTTTTACGTATTAGCGGTGTTCTGTGGTAAAGAATTATCAAGATTAATTTATTTTAATCAGCATGCTCAATTCATCCGGTGAATACTAGAAATAGTCATGTAGAAATCATCAATATTGTGTATACATTCAGGACTCACAGTATTAATGTTTCGTTTATCGTTAAGTGATCATATTAATATACACTTACTTTTTGTCTCTATTCATAACATTGAACACGGCAAGACACGTTGCAAAGATCAGACAAATTATTGCAAGGCCACACATACTATAAAATAAGGCGTTGTCAATGACTAGATACAGCCTTTTTCCCATCAGGCGATCTGGGGGAATAACACTATCTGCAAATACAATATGGAACTGAATTACTTGACATCTTATGCTATCCATGTATACTTGCTTTATATGGTTTTTCACGTGTGTATATTAATATTACCTATATAGACCAAAGTTACATGTATATTTGTAAATCGATCTCATCAGTGTAACGTTTACAAATATATTGTATACAGATCAAACGACGGAAAACTATATTATCAATTAAATAACACACACTCTATAACCCTGTCAGTATTGTTCACATATTGTTAATTTGGACAAACATGACAAACTGCAATGTTTCTATAACTTAAGAGAAAACACTGTGACACGTAATGGGTCAAAATATCTGGATGCCTTATATCCTTGGACTGACCCCCAAAATTTAATTTAGCCGCACTCCTTTTGTGTTTTTTACTGAAAATACTGAAAATATTGAAAGAAATCAAGACGTTGCGATATGTTATGATAGAAAATCATAATTTCTTCCGCATATTGAAATACTCGTTTTGTCATGGCATACATAAGTCGGGGTATTGTACATACATAAACTATTGGAACTATACACCTAATATTTTAGCTAATGTTTTTAAAATAATTGTTTTTAGTCCAACTAAAAATGCCTATGCAAAGGGATGTGGATAACTATTGATGAAATTATCTCCAGGATTACCTGTCCACGTGAATTCTGAGTTCCAATTGAAAACACCATTTAGATTCGTAGCTCGTAGAATGTACCCCGAGTCTGTAAAAATAACAATATATTCAATAAATGTCTTAAGGTAGCGAGAAGGTTTTGTGACGTTTTTAAATAAAACATTCTCTATCTGTTGTCTCGTTCAGAACAGTAATTTAGGTTATATATATCAAAAGACTGAGTATAGAGGTGCAAGTTCGCACAAACTGGACAGACATTGTTTACATAATTATCACGTGACATCAAAAATGGCGAACCTTGTAAAAATGACTAAGTACGCGATTGCGAGAGCACACTGCGGAATTTCCTGGTGAAATTTAAGTTATGCATTGTCCGTAATCAAGTCCATTGAAATGCGTCTCCGATAATCAAAAGACCTATTATTCCGATTTCTATGCAGGTTTGTTTTTTTGTCCCCAAATTATTTCATACTTGGCACCTTTAACAGACTATTATTCTGTGACAAAGCATTTTCTTTAAAAACCCAGACATATTTCGCACCATCATTATCTTTTGAACGATAACTGCGAGTTTGAATGTCCTAGTCCGAACGCACTTGATTTGGCGGCGGTCCCAATGAGTCGTTCTCGATCAAAACTTCAACTCGAGAAAAACGCGAAAAACAGTTTTGGTTAATAAAACACTGTAGATTTGCTGCATTATTATAAATATACACTAAAAATGGCCAAACATATTAACCACTGATATCATAGAACTCATAAAGAGTGTCAGATAATGAATAATTTCAAGCTCGAGCGCGAAAAATGA